CCGGGCCCTAAGAGGCTGGATGGTGGGGGGGTCAATCAGAGAGGAGAGGGTGGGGGGGGGGTATACGGAGCGTGTCCTCAGCAGTTTGAAAACTGCTGTCATTCTTTTTTCTGCTGTAATCTAATTCAACCCAAATGATCACAGTGCGACACATCGGCTGCACTGGTTCCCGAAAGTGAGGTCCCAGGACGCCTCGAGGGGTCAGGGGGAAATAAAATAAGGTCTTCAGAAATCAGAGAGASAGAGAGAGGGARGGAGGAGAGAGAAGAAATCTCCTGGGGGGTCGTTTGGGTTGTGTTTGCACATTTACAGGATGTATATGTTGATCCTAGATTTCAGCCTCCCCGCTGATATCTGCTCATCTGCTGCACTCGGACACTGTGCTCAAGGAAAAAAAAGGAAGAAAAGAAAGAAAAAAATCTCATCAAGCCCCAGAAAAATGTCACATGTGGGTCCCTGTGASAAAATCTTATCAAGCAGGGAGCCGGGGAAAGGTATAACGCGGATCTGCGTGCGGCGTTCTTGACATGAAACAGATCTGAACTGGACTCGTGATTTTAAAGGAGTCCGAACAGAACAGCAGAGAGGAGTTGCTTGTGTTTATGGTTTATTGTTTGTGCGAATAACATGAGAAATTCCAAGCTTTACTCGCAGCACATTTTACATTGTTTTTTTCTTTAGAAGGGTAAAAGTCTAAATGAAAGCGTTGTTGGCTGTGGAGACACCCCGCAAACTTTAAATGTATGAAATCGTCACTTGAGCTATTTTGGATTYATTTGTTTAGATTGTTTCCTCCTTTTTCACACGAGACTGTAACAGAACAGAAAATAGTCTAGCTCTAGGTGGCATTAAGGCCCACGGGTCAAACACACAAAGCTTAATAATGCGTAAAAACGTGCGCCTGTATGTTKGACTGCAGGCAGGCCTTTGTGCTCGTGTTCAGCACTCCGCGTGATGTCCAAGTAGAAACATAACTCATTTATCGTATTTGCAACGTGGAGCACAACATAAATGTAAAGGGGAATATAAAACTGAAATATCATTTAAAACTTAAACAAGAAGTTTGGGAAAAAATCATTTTAAGTGTCCCTGTTTTTTACCTGTGGAATTTGTAACCGAGTGCGAGCTGTTAATTATTGTGTTGGTGGTGGAAAAGATGATGATGATGATGATGATGATGGCAGAAATAATGGTGACGAGGATGAGGAAGATGATGAAGACTGGATGAGAAATAACGCGCAGGGTGTGAGGTTTATTGTTAAAGCACCTTCAGTCTACCACCACCAGCAGCATCGAGCAGAATTACGCCAAATTAATTTCACAGTTTGAGGGAGCTCTGCCAAAATGTGTGTTGGAAGTTTTTTGGTAAAACACCCCCATAAAACAGGAAACACACACACACACACACACACACACACACAC